ACACACACACACACACACACACACACACACACACACACACACACACACACACACACACCCGTGCTACGATGAAGAAGATATGACATTCCTTGTTAACTCTTGTGGCCTCCAAACAGCGCTACCTGCAGGATGCGCACTCGGCCAGGATGCACACTCGGCTAGGCACGCGCGCCTCGCACAATAGCACCGCGTGAGGGAGGGGGAGAGCGGGAGATAGAATCTAATTAAGTTCACCTCAACCCGACGCGCAGAAGGAAGAGAGAGAGAGAGATAGACGAGAAAAAGAGAAAGAGAATAGAGAGAGCGAGAAAGAAGAGAGGAGATAAAGAGAGAGAGACNGTGTGTGTGTACCCACGTTACCTGCATAGCTAATGTGCACACAACTATCCTCGCTAAACCGTGGGGTCGTTACATCGTGACATCGCACGGCGTTCCGTGTCGCCATGCTGTCTCTCTCGGTGTCGTTCACGTGTAACGTGCCGGTCGACGCTCTGCCGACGTGCCGCAGACGACCGTTGACCTCTGACGTCACCGGTGACGAGGTAACGGTCAGCAGCGAGGAAAGCAGCCTCGTGTGCGACGTCGTCGCCGCCGCTTGGGGCGCTGCCGACGCGACGTCGGTCGCCGACGGCGTGTGCGCGACGACGGACGACGAGGAGGAGGCGTCGGCTGATACGACGGACTTTACGAAAGACGCGGCCGACGACGGAGAGCGTAAAGGTCATCGGAAGGTCATCATAGCCGCCGACAACGACGTCGCCGCATGCGAAACGACGACCGACGACGCCGACCACAATGACGCTGACGCAGCCAGCAATGACGCAGCCGATGACGCTACCGGTAGTGACGCCACCGCGGTTTGCAATGACGCTGACGCAGTCGGAAATGACGCTACCGGTGACGCAGATGTTAATGCTCAGCGGACGGTAGTAACTGCGGCCAGTATACGGCAGACGGGAAGCGCGCACGTGATGACGCTGGCGCGGGGTGCGTCAGACGCTAGCACGCGCTCTGCCGCCGCGCGGTGCGTCACCCGGGCAGCGCGCGTGACGCAGAGAACAGAGGAAGCCGTGGGATGCGTCACCCGGGCCGTGGGGAAGACAGAAAGGACAGAGGAATCCGTGGAAGACGACAATGATCAGGAGAATCACAGACCGAGCAGTCTGAAAACAAACGCGTGCGACGCGCATGCGTCGATGGGTAGAAAACCGCGGGAAACGCTAAAGCCGGCAGGTGGCGCTGGCGGCGACTGCGTGAAATTCGCGAAGAAGCAGCGATTGGTGACGCAGCAGCGGGAGAAGGAGAAGGAGAAGAAGAAGAAGAAGAAAATTGTTACATTTAAGCTGGTAAATTTTGTCTCGGGCCGCGGATCTGAGAAAACTCAATGGCCGCGCACGTGTATGGTTAATCATGGCATCGTGCGTGGGAAGTGGGATAACCTCCGAACCTCCCTCCATTTCCTCTCTTACGTCAGACTCTGTCTGTCTGCACCACTTCCGTTCTAGCAGCAAACATAGCTTACGAATTTTGTTATCATTGTTGTTGTCCTTTCCCTTGTTATCGTCGTCGTCGTCGTTGCTGTCGTCATCGTCATCATCGTCGTCGTCGTCTTGACCGTCTTTGTTGTTGTTGTTGTTGTTGTTTTTGTTGTTGATGTTGTTGTTGTTGTTTTTGTTGTTGTTATTGTTGTTGTCGTTGTTGTTGTTGTTGTTTTTGTTGCTGCTGCTGCTGCTGTCGTCGTAGTCGATGTTGTTGTTGTTGCAAGGAAATATTGTTCTTGTTTAAAAAATTAAACACGCGATTTCCCAGAAATGCGCGCTTAAGAACTCGCTGATATCTGTGTCCATCAGAAATGATAATGTTTTTACTTGTTTCTGATGCTATAGCCTATTCCCTTTGTTACCAGTACGGATATGCATGCACCCTCTCGTATTCTGATCGTACATGAAGATCGCTGTTTTCTCTTACAGGAGCCCAGGTCTTCACTGTTCCCTGCGGAATACTACACGGCAGAGCTTCGCAAGCATCTGGACACGGCCGATAGGGTGCATGCAGATCTCACGAGCCTGCCTGAGGGTGAGGAGGCCCTTGCCACGCCCCAAGCCACGCCTGTTAACATATCGAGTCTACTGCGCCGGCTTACTAATTGGTTCATCTCTATTCTCCGCACCGTTGGTCTGCAGCCGACATCGTCAGAGCGTGTCCTGGTCGCCGACGGAACTAGACGGTTCTGCTGTTGTCGTCTCATCATACTCTACGTACCTGTGTGTGTGTGTGTGCGCGCTACCTGCGTGTATGCGTGTGTGTGGTTATATGTGACAGTACATGCCCGCTGCCTGTGTGAGTGCGTGAGCACGTGTATGCGCGTGCGTGGATATATGTGACAGTAAATGACGGGTACCTGCGTGTGTGCATGCGTGCGCGTGTGTGCGTGTGTAGATATATGTGACATTGCATGCTTGCTGACTGTGTACGTGCGCGTGCGTGCGTCCGCGTGTGTGCGTGCGTGCGTGCGTGGATATACGCGATTGCGTGCGTGCGTTCATACCCATTGCCTGCGAACAGGTGAAATAGCAGCAGATGCGCGGAATTACAAGCACACGAGCTCCTGCCCGCAGGAAATACAAGACACGGGTGAACCCTGAAGCAAAGGGTTAAGTGAATCACCGATTAAGACCTGAGTTATAATCCTTCCTTATGCGTGTTATTTGGCGGGCGCTTCGCGCCATATCTACCGGGTAGAGAGTACAGAGAAAAGGCGTCAACAAAGTCAACAGTGACGTGGGGGCGTGTATGCCGCTTATATCCGCGCTGTGCGAATTTGTCGCCGCGGAGAAAGACGATACAGAGAGCAGGGACTGTGCACGAATGAGAAACGTCACTGTATTGTCAGTATATACCTATGGAGAGGTGATTGATAGATAGACGCTACAGCGTGTGACTGACTTTACCTATGCGCTAAGGATCTACAACTGTGTGTAAAAATGTGTAGGTCTACAACTTTACCAGTGCTCTCAGTGTGTTCAACTTTACCAGTGCTCTCAGGAGCTGTGTTCAACTTTACCAGTGCTCTCTGGAGCTGTGTTCAACTTTACCCGTGCTCTATCTGTGTTGAACTTTACCAGTGCGACGTATATGTTAATATACAAAAGCTTAGAGAGATTCGTGAACCACGTACGCTACATCATGTAAGATTCCGTTGGCTTAAGAAAAGGCGACTGGAAAGCAGTGATAGTATATGTGGATCAGCTATATAGCAGCTCTGTAAGTTGTAACCAT